TCCTGCATCAATAGACAAGCAACACAAGAGAAATTTTTCAACTGGAAGATTTGTGATAAAGCTTTTGTGATGTCTAATGACAAATCAAAAAAAGAAACAGGAGAGGGACCATTCATGAGTTGGGTGACCGAACCCACACACAGGCATCAAATCTCCAAAATGAGGAAGTCATTGCTGTGTAAGGTGTGCAACAGATCCACTTCAACATCATTGCACCTCCTGCTTTATCACAGGATCCATATGGGGGAAGTGACCCTTCAGTTATTAGGCCTGTAATCAATCATACCTGACATCTTGAACTCTCCCAGGACTCCAGAGGATTAGCACAAGGGAAACGCCTCAAATACAGCATTTGTAACAACAGTTTAAACCAAACCTCTGATCTCCTTTAGCACCAGCAAGTCCATACTGGAGAGAAATCATTCACGTGTGAGGTGTACAACAAGACTTTCACGCAGTCAGTGTACTTCCTAGTCCATCAATGCATTCACACAAGGGAGAAACGCCATCAATGAGTGTTCTTTATTAATACTTCAGACAGTTGCCAGACCTCATGAAACATCAGTACACCCATGCAGGAAACAAATTCTTCCAATTTAACATGTGTCAGGATTGTTTTACCATCTCCTTTTCTCTCACCATACACTGACGTCTCTGAATGGACTGAGAGCTGGGTCACCTCAGGTGAATCATTGAAGGCACAAATGTCCAAGGAGTTGTCAGCAAACAGAAAGATCCCTATCTCTCCTGAAAAAGGAAAGCTTACAGCAGAACAAGCTGCACAGATCTCCCTCAGTAAGGTATCCTCTGGGAACCTGAGACAGTTCCAGAAATTGGCATCTTTAATTCTGTTGTAAACTCTCAAATTTTAATACTGATCTGTCTCTCTGCATCTTCTCTAGTATGGCTGTAACACTATATTCTGCTCCCTGATGCATTTTGTATGGTACGATCTGCCTGTATAGCACGCAAAACAACACTTTTCACTATATCTTGGTACATGTGACAAGAAATCAAATCAAATCAAATCTGAAAAGGACTAAAATCCTGAGTATGGTGAGCGAGTAGGCTGAGTCTTTACAGACCTGAGGTTCCCCCAGCCCATCATATATCAATGTATTATCAGTGTGGTATGTTTACTTTACATACTTCCAAGATTCATTTCCTGTTCTGGGAAAAATCTTAAACCATTTTCAAATATTTTGTTACTTTGGTCTATTCAAAGCTCAGCATGTAATTTTTATTGTATTAGATTCAGTTTCCTTGGATTTAAATCCCAAGGCTATGTTCAGAATGCTTTTCTCCAGTAAACTGACAACGTGAAAGTTTGATTTGATTTACAGTTAAAAACAAATTTGTGCAAATGTTTAAATCAGAAAAACACATCTTTTTGACTGTTGTCCAATAAGTAAGTTGTTGCAAGTGATTCTGAAAAGATTTACATACATGTGGAGAGGCAAGGAATGATTAGGGATAGTCAGCATGATTTTGTGCGAGGGAGATCGTGTTTCACAAACTTGACAGAGTTTTTTGAGGAAGTAACTAAGAAGATTGACGAAGGCAGAGCGGTAGACATTGTTTACTTGGGCTTTAGTATAGCCTTTGACAACGTTCCACATAGTAGACTAATTAGTAAATTAGAATTCAGGCTCAGCTTGCCAATTGGATACAAAATTGGCTTAACGACAGGATGCAGAGAGTGAATGATGCAGGGTTGTTTTTCAGACTGGAGACCTGTGACCAGCAATGTTCCCAAGGGTTCAGTGCTGAGTGCACTTTTGTTTGTCATTTATATAGAAGATTTAGGTGAGAATATAGAAAGCATGGTTAGTAAGTTTGTGGATGACCAAGATTGATGGTATAGTGGACAGTGAAGAAGGTTATCAATGATTACAAAGAGATGTTGATCAATTGGGTCAGTGGCTAAAAAGTGGCAAATGGAGTTTAATTTGGATAAATGGAAGGTATTACATTTTGGTAAAACAAACAAAGACAAGATTTGATGATTAAAATAGGGCATTGGGCAGTGTTGCAGAACAGAGAGACCTAGGGGTTCAGATACATAATTCTTTGAAGTTTGCATCACATAGATAAGGTGGTTAAGAAGGCATTTAACAAGCTTGTCATCATTGCTCAGACCTTTGAATATAGGAATTACGACATTATGTTGAGGTTGTATAGGGTGGAAGTGAGGCTTCTTCTGAAGTACTGTGCCCAGTTCTGGTCGTCCTATTGTGGAAAGGATATTATTAAGCTGGAGAAGGTTCAGAAGAGATTTACCAGGATGTTGCCGGGTCTGGAAGATTTGACTTATAAGGAACGGCTGGATAGTCTGGGACTTTTTCTCACTGGAGCGTAGGAGGTTCAGAGGTGACCTCATAGAGGTTTACAAAATGAGAGGTTTAGATAAGGTGAATGCCAGGTGTCTTTTCCCTAAGGTGGGGGATTTCAAGACTGGGCTCATATTTTTAAGGTGAGAGGAGAAAGTTTTAAAAAAGACATGACAGGCCAATTTCTTTTTTACACACAGTGGTTCATGTGTGGAATGAACTTCGAGAGGAAGTGGTGGATGCGCCTACAGTGTTTAAAAGACATTTAGGTAAGTACATGAACAAGAAATGTTCGAGGGATATGGGCCACGTGCAGGCAAGTGAGACTAGTTTAGTTTGGGATTGTGGTCAGCTGTGCAACTCTATGACTCTAAGTAGGGATCACAAGGCTGTCTATTGTGCATTTCTTCAGGCATTTTTGGCTTGCTCTGTTCAACCACCCTTTTGTCAAACCCCCACATGCTAGCTTGTGAACAGCCATCTAGAATTAAAAGTGCAAAAGCCTAACTGTACAAAACATTAATGGAAATTAGCACACAAACTCCAAAAGTAAGAAGCTAAAAACTAATTACTACCAAATACGAAGACTAAGAAAATAAGTCGAAGATTGATCCCAAGACTTGCAAAGTATACAGTGCATGTTTACTCACTGCATTGATCATGAAGTCAATCAGGTCACAATATAACATCCTTAAATAAAACAATGATTTATTTCAAAGATTTCTTTAGCAAACCTCCTTGACAAAAGCAACAACTACAAGTGCACACGTTCTGGCCGAGTTTGTGTTACTTTGTATCTGTTTTATCAATGTAATCCAGCTGAAATCGACCCTATCAGCAATTTTCAATTTCAGTGATAACAACCGTAAATTGAACTTCTGTGATCTTCAACACAGGTTTATTAAACATAGCCAGGAAGTTGGTACCAACCACAGAAATGGCCACTGTTGGAAATTGGAGTCCCCTTTAAAACTCTGTTTTGGTATTCCATATTCACTATTTCCTTTGTTGCATGACATCTCATTCAATTGTGTTGTAACAGTAATAATCCTTCTTCCTACAGAAACAAGAGGTTAACAAGTGCCACGGTATTTTAAGAGCAATGTTTTTGAAAATAAGAAGGTTTTGTTCTCAAAAGGAATGAAACCAACCTCCAAACTGATATTGGCAAGAGGCCAACGGTCATGAGTAGCTGTCCCATGGTCATTGGCCAAAAGGGTTGAGACAATTGATTGACACAGAGTAATAAACCTGCCTCTGAAAAATAGGGTCTATCAACAAGTGCTCAGATGCAGATGACAGTCCTCACTGGTTGCTCATCAGAGAGGTGTTTTCTCCAGATAGACCAGATGTTGAGGAAGAAGACCCAGGGAAAAGCTCCTTAACACTTTGGCTAGGTAGCAGGCCATTTGCCAGGGTAACTGATACAACAGTTGCAATCAGTGAGCAGTGGTGTTCCTCAAGGGCCAGTACAGGGTCAACCTTTGTTTGTCAATTATTTAAATGATTTAGACGAGAATATAGAAGGCATGGTTAGTAAGTCTGTGGATGACACCAAAATTGGTGGTATAGTGGACAGTGAAGAAAGTTAGCTAAGATTACAAAGAGATCTTGATCAATTAGATCAATGAGCTGAAAGTGGCAGATGGAGTTTAATTTGGACAAATGTGAGCTATTGCATTTTGGTAAAACAAACAAGGGCAGGACTTGTACAATATAAAATACAGCCTTGGTGAGTCTTGTAGAACAGAGACCTAGAGGATCAGGAACATAGTTCTTTAAAATTTCCATCACGTATAGATAGGGTGAGTATGCAGGTGTTTATCATTCTTGCCTTCATTGCTCAGACCTTTCAGTATGGGAGTTGGGTTGTTATGTTAAGGTTGTACAAGATTTTGGTGAGGTTTCTTCTGGAGTAGTATTAAGCTGGAAAGGGTTTGGAAGAGATTTCCAGGATATTGCTGGGAATAGAGGGTTTGATTTATGAGGAGAGGCTGGATAAGCTACGACTTTCTTCACTGGAGCATAGGAGGTTGAAAGGTGACCTTATAGAGGTTTATAAAATAATAAGGCAATAGAAAAAGTGAATGGCAAATGTATTTTCCCTAGTGTAGGGGATTTCAACATGAGGGGATATATTTTTAAGCTGAGAGGAAAAAGATTTTAAAAAGACAGGGATTTTTTTTATAAAGAGAGTTTGTGTGAGCAATCAACTTCCAGAGGAAGAGGTAGATGTGGGTACAGTTACGCAAGTTTAAAAGAGATTTAGATAAGTACATGAATAAGAAATGTTTGAAGGGATATGAGCCAAGTGCAAACAGGTTGGACTAGATTAGTTTGGGATCATGGTCAGTATGGACTGGTTGGACCAAAGGGGCCTATTTACATGCTGTATGACTCTGTGACTGCCTTTATTAGGTAGGACTTAGACTTGGAACCCCTACAGTGTGGAAACAGGCCCTTCAGCCCAACAAGTCCACACCGACTCTCAGAGCATCCCACCCAGACCCATCCCCCTATAACCCACCCAATCTACACATCCCTGAACACTATGGGCAATTTAACATGCCCAATCTACCTAGCCTGCACATCTTTGGAATGTGGGAGGAAACCGGAGCACCTGGATGAAACCCACGCAGACACAGGAAGAATGTGCAAACTGCACACAGACAGACGCCCAAAAGTGGAATCAAACCCAGGTCCCTGGTGCTGTGAGGCAGCATTGCTAACCACTGAGCCACCGTGCCTCAAAATTCAAAATGTTGGCTCCAGATTAGAATAATGAAAGTGGTGAGTCACTGCCGGTTACGCCTGTTTGATGTGACTCTTCAAATTACACTCAGGTTTTTGGGCGTTCAGGCACCAACAGTCAGTCTCATTTGTGACTATTCAACGGGTTGTGGCCAGCAATTACTTCAGGGAAGTACAGGCCCACATATAATAGTTTATTTCAGTTGTGCCACATAAACAGGTGCAACAGGTAAAATAGTATCACATAGTCTTAATGACTTTTGTTACCTCAATAATATTAAACACAGTTTCTGCTTTGTTTTATGATAGAGTTTAAAACTTTCTCTCTCTCTTTTCATACTGGAGAAAGAAAAAGAGAATGGGTTGAGGAAGGAGAGGTAGAAAGCAAGACAATGTGGAAGGGAGCAGAGATTGAACGAGGAAAAGAAGAAATTGCTCCTACCCCTCTGTACTTGGTATATCCCTTGTATCTCCATTCTTCCCTTGTTCCTCAATCCTATGTTCCTCTTCTGATCTGCTTTCAAACACATTTAAGACTCCACATCCTGCACTGATGTTGTCCATTTGGAAGCCTCCATGAATGAAAAATGCTATTCCCACACTAGAAATCTCTGTCAAATATTTACCAGGAGAACTGAGACAGCAGCTGAAATTAGTGAACTCAAATGGGACAATGACTGGTTTAAATTCCCATCTGATCTACTGATCAAAGTCATTTCTGTTTCATATGTCAGTTTGCCAAGCTTCAAGAAATTCATTGCTTCAGAAATATTTGAAGGAAGTTGCATTTTAAACAATGTTCCATGTGGTGTGCAGAATGCTACAGCCCCCAAAGCATTACTTTCATAAGATATCAGATATCAGCTTCATATTGCAAGATGTTGCGTATTTCTCAAAACATCTAATTCGCAGGAAAATATTTACACTATTGTTTGCAAGTTACTCCACATATATAGCCCATCAAGAAAAATGTCACCCATGTATGTAAATACTGTTTGTTCTTTCTAGTAAGTTCCAATTTTATCTGCCCCATATGCATGTTCCACACATGACCCTTGAACCATTCAAGTCTTATTATAATAGATACCAGTTGATCAGCCAGTGTCTGCTGTCATTTCTCAGGGGAATGGCATCACTGAGGTGGGTGTTGTTGGTGTTGCCGATCTGCAGCATTTGTTGGGGAATAGTTGACCTCTGGGGTTCATGGTGGTTCAGTTCTGCACTTGATTGGTGAAATCAAACCAGCCTCTTCAAGCTGTCTGCTGTGAAAGAACAGCTTTTCCAATTGCACATAGATGTCTTTGGTTGCTAAAACAGTTCTAGTCATTCTCTTTCAGTGTGTATGATCGAGGTGACAACCTTTCTACACAGTTGCCAAATGAGCTCATTTTTGTTGAGTGTGTTGAATGTTTGCACCCAGGCCAGCTCAACTGGTGACAACAGCCTGCAGTCAGAAAGATGTCTTGAATTGGCTTGTGGTCAGATTCCACCATCACCTCCTTCTCTCTCCCAAAGGTACTGCTTGAAGATTTCACAAAGATAATAGGTTTTCTTTCTGAATCTGTGCATAGTGTTGTGTAGTTAGTGTTGACTCTGGATACAAACACAATGGGTTTCCCTCACTGCATGGGGCTTGCTCCAAGTCCTGTGTCACTGACATCACACTGCAGGGTGCCTCCATTGTTGACATCATAATCCCTCCGCACTGGTGATGTCATCACTAGGTGTTTGATGGGAGTGAAAGCTGCGTCTTGTTCTGTGTCCCAGTCCCACTGAACACCCTGCACAGTGAGACTGTGTACACTGTTACACACTCTGAGGACAGATTGGCAAAAGCCTGGTTGCATAGATCCCTGTGTAAGTTCATTGATGTTCCAGGAAGTCCAAAAGCCATGTGAAGGATTAATTACAGACCTCATACTGCTAGGCCTGTGTCAGTGCATTGATGGACCAGTTATAATTTGACTGCAGGAAAACCTTGCCACAAACATTGCACCTGATGAGTTTCACCACTATCTGAATTCTGTGTTTTGCAAGGTGGTCAGAATCATTGCAAAACCTTCATCATAAACATCACACTTAAATGTTCACTCCCCGGTGTGGGTTCTCTGGTGGAGGAGAAGGCTCCATGACCTCGAGAATGATTTGTCGCACATCTCACACATGAATGGTTTCTCCCCTGTGTGAACACGTTGGTGAACAAGGAGGATTGATGACTGAGTGAAGGATTTGTCACACACCTCACACTTAAACGGTTTCTCCCCTGTGTGAATACGTTGATGTGTACGAAGGTTCCCTGACCGTGAGAATGATTTGTGACACACCACACAGCTGAATGGCTTCTCCCCTGTGTGAATTCTTTGGTGCTCACGGAGGGTCGATGATTGTGAGAATGACTTGTCGCACATGTCACAGGTGAATGACTTGTTGCCTGTGTGAGTAGGCCGATGATGCACCAGACCTGACAACTGTGTAAAACTCTGGTTACACACTTCACATGTGAATGGTTTCTCCCCTGTGTGAATGCGCTGATGATTACGGAGGTTCTCTGTCCGTAAGAATGATTTGTCACAAACCTTGCATCTAAATGGTCTCTCCCCTGTGTGAATGCGTCGGTGTGTGTGGAGATTCTCTGACTGCGAGAATGATTTGTCACATACCTCACATGTAAACGGTCTCTCCCCTGTGTGAATGCGTCGGTGTTTTCGAAGTTCCCCTAATGTCAAGAATGCTTTATCACACACCTCACACCTGAATGGCTTTTCTCCTGTGTGAATGCGTTGGTGCACAAGGAGGCTGGATGACTGTGAAAATGATTTCGCACAAATCTCACATCTGAATGGCTTTTCCCCTCTGTGAATGGGTTGGTGATTCAGCAGGCCCGATAGCTGTGTGAAGCCCTTGTTACACACCTCACATTTGAATGGCTTCTCCCCAGTGTGAATACGTTGGTGATTTGTGAGTGTCAGTGACCTTGCGAAAGCTCGGTCGCACAACGTACACTTGAATGGTTTCTCTTTCATGTAGCTGCCCTTGTGTTAATAGTAGTACAACAGATGTACCTTGTCTGTGTAGAGACCTTACAAGTTTGTGTAGCTCTTCTCACAGACCTCTCACTTAAACAGCCCCACGGCTATAGCAGTGAGTCAGCGGCTCATGATATGCCAAAATCCCCCTGACCCAACTGATTTCTGGATGATGGTTTCACTACCCAACTTTCTCTGTGTTGAGCAATGCTGAGAAGAGACGCGGTGTCTTCGCACAGTTGTGCAGTTGTTCCTTGGGTGATGGTCAGATCTATCTGTGGTCTCTATCCTCTCTCTATTACGTGGCGTTCTATAGTGCAATCCTTCTGTAAAACAAGAGAAGGAAATGTGATTTCCTTCAACTGCATCTCCTCCTTTGCTGAAGGGGCTGACTCTTCATTTCTTTCTATCTCACTTTCAGAGAATGTTGGGGTCACTAGCTTGGTCAGCATTTGTTGCCCATCCCTAACTGCCCGTGGTGATGAGCTGCCTTCTTGAACCAGACAGTTCACTGGGTCACTGGGTGTTGGGAAGGGAGTTCCAGGATTTTGCCTCAGTGATAGTGAGGGAATGATGTCTTAGTTCCATGTTATTACAGAGACTTAGTTGAGAGAGGAACAGGTCCAGAGTGGCGTTATTTTAGACAAGATAAAGAGATAAAGAAGGTGGAGGAGTTGCATTACTAATTAGAGAGAGTGTTACATCTGCACCCAGAGAGGACATACTGGAGAGCTCATTCTCTCAGGCAACATGGGTAGAGCTCAAAAATACGATGGGTGCAATCACTCTGATAGGATTATACTTTAGGCCCTCCAACAGCGACCGAGACATTGAGGAACAAATATATAGGCAGACTGTGGAAAAACACAATAGAAACAAAGGTGTCACAGTGGGTGGCTTTAACTTGCCCAATATTGACTGAGACTCCCTTTAAAGCAAGAGTTTGATGGGGCACAATTTGTTATGTGCATATTAGAGGGTTTCTTGAAACAGTACGTGGATAGTCTAACTGGAGAAGAGGCCATACTGGCCAGGTGACTGACCTTTCAGTGGGAGAGCATTTTGGAAAATGTGATCACAACTCCTTAAGTTTTAAAATAGCTATGAATAAGGATAAGGCAGGACCATGTGGCAAGGTACTAAATTGGGGGAGGGCAACTTACGTCAGTATTAGGTAGGAGCTAGGGAATGTTAATCAGGAGGAACTGTTATCAGGCAAGTCCACATTTGACATATGGGTATTGTTCAAAGATCTGCTGTTGAGAGTTCAAGACTGGCATATTCCAGTAAGGAGGAAGGGCAAGGTAAGGGACCCTTGGATGATGTGGGTGGTTGTAAATTTAGTCAAAAGACAAAAATGTATATAGAAGATTTAGGAAGCTAAACTTGGACAGGGCCCATGAGGAATATAAAGAAAGCAGAAAAGAACTCAAGCAGGGATTTAGGAGAGCAAGAAGGGACCATGAAATGACCTTGGCAAGTGGGGGTTAAAGAGAATCCCGAGGCATTCAAAATATACATTAAAACCAAAGGGGTAACTAGGGAGAAGGTACGACCACTTAAGGATAAAGGAGAGAACTTGTGCTTGGAGGCAGAGGATATGGGTGAGATCCTAAATGAATACTTTGCGTCAGTATTCACCCAGGAGAAGTATATGGAGGTTAGTGAGATTTGTGAGGAGCATGCTGATATACCATGGCATTTTGAGATCAAGAAAGAAGTGGCATTGGGTCTCTTGAAGAGCATTAAGTGGTTAAGTCCACTTGTCCAATGACATCAACCCTGGGTTATTGTGAGAGGCAAGAGAGGAGACTGGTGGGGCCTTGACCATGCTATTTATATCCTCGCTAGCCACCAGAGAGGTCCTAGAGGACTGCTGGGTAGCTAATGTTGTTCCTCTATTCAAGAAGGGAAATAGGAATGATCCAGGAAACGAAAGACCAATCAGTCTCAGATCGGAGGGTTAGAAGCTATTGGAGGGAATTCTTAGGGATAGGATTTATTTGCATTTGGAAAAACATGACCTAATTAGGGACAGTCAGCATGGCTTTGTGCAGGGCAGGTCATGTTTGAATTTTGCAAGGAGGTGACAAAGGTGATCAATGAGGGTAGAGCAGTGGATGTTCATAGAATCCCTACAGTGTGGAAACAGGCCCTTTGGCCCAACAAGTCCACATCGACTCTCACAGCATCCCACTCAGACCCATTCCCCAAAAACCCACCTACCCTACACATCCCTGAAAACTACAGACAATTTAGCATGGCCAATCCACCTACCCTGCGCATCTTTGGACTGTGGGAGGAAACCAGACCACCCAAAGGAAATCCAGGCAGACAGGGGGAGAATGTGCAAACTCCACACAGACAGTTGCCCGAGGGTGGAATCGAACCTGGGTCCCTGGTGCTGTGAGGCAGCAGTGCTAACCACTGAACCACCATACTGCCCCGATGTTGTCTACATTGATTTTAGTAAGGCTTTCAACAAGGTGCCTCCCATAGGCTCATCCAGAAGATTAAGATGTAAGGGATCCATGGTGACTTGGCTGCACAGATTTAGAACTGGCCTGCACATAGAAGGCAGAGGGTAGCGGTGGAAGGGTGTTTTTCAGGCTGGAGGTCCATGACTAGTGGTGTTCCAAAGGGATCCGTAATCCTGTGGTATGTCACTGGATACAGGTTTCCAGTCAAAAAACCTTGCAACCATCACTCTTTGCTTCCAACAAGTGATCCACTTTTGGATCCAATTTTCCAAACGGCCCTGGATCCCAAAGGCTCTTATCTTCTTGATAAGTCACCCAAGCTAGAGCTTGCAAAAAGCCCTACCAAAATCCACATAGACAACATCAACTGCATTACCCTCACCTACACACCTTTTGCCACCTCCTTGAAAAAAACTTAATCAGATTTATTAAACATGATCTCCCCCTGACAAATCCTTGCCTCTCCTGACAGAAAATAATTCTGTCCCTCAGAATTTTTTCCAATAATCTGTAAGGCTAGACTCACTAAAGTGAGAGTCACTGGTCTATAGTTCCCTGGTTTATCCTTACCACCCTTCTTGAATAATGATATTACATCCTCCAATCCTCTAACACCCTTTCTGTGTTAAGGGATTATTTAAAAATTAATGTCAGAGCCTCTGTAAACCCCTCCCAAAGCAGCCAAGGTTACGTCTCCTCTGGGCCTGGAGATTTACCCACTTTTTAGTCCAGAGTCTGTAAGTACCTGTTCCCTCTCAGGGTAAACTTGTTCAAGAAGATCAGTCCCCTTCCCTGATTTCTATATCTGCATTGGACACCTCAATAGTGAACACACAAGAAAAGTACTCATTTGAATCCTCACCCACACCTTCCAGCTGTACACACAGATTGTGCCTTTCGTCCCAAATGGACCCTACTTTATCCTGATTAGAAAATTATGTTGTTCTTTTATGTAACTGACATTGTGGGTTTGGAAGGTAAAGCAGTGCATCTTGTAGAAGGTACATGTTGCTGTCACTGTTGGTGGTGAAGGAAGTGAATGCTGAATGGTGGTAGATAGACTGCTAAACAAGTGGGCAATTTACTCGTGGGTGGTGTCACCTTGTTGCGTGTCATCCAGGCAAGGGGACCGTAATAGTTAAACAGCAAAGGTTCAAATGTTGTAATTGTACCAACCTTCACCACTCCCTTTGACAGCTGTTTCCATACATGCGCCACCCTCTTGCATGAAAATGTTGCCCCTTAAGTCCCTTTTAAATCTTTACCCTCTTCACCTTAAACCTATGCCCCTCTAGTTTTGGCCTCTGCTACTGTGGGAAAAAAGACCTTGCTTATTTATTCTATTCATGACCTTCATAATTTTATAAACCTCTATAAGGTCAGCCCTCAGCCTCCAGTGTTCAGGGAAGATAGCTCCAGCCTATTCAGCCTCTCCCTACAGCTCAAACCCTCCCATCCTGGCAACATCCTTGTAAATCTTCTTTGAACCCTTTCAAGCTTCACAACATCCCTCCTATCGCAGGGAGACCAAAATTGCACGCAGTATTCAAAACGTCATGTGCAGCTGCATCATGACGTCCCATTACAAGATGATCAGAGGATTAGATAGGGTGGACAGTGGGAGCCTTTTTCCTCGGATGGTGATGGCTAGCACGAGGGGACATAGCTTTAAATTGAGGGGTGATAGATATAGGACAGATGTCAGAAGTAGGTTCTTTACTCAGAGCATAGTAAGGGCGTGGAATGCCCTGCCAGCAAAAATAGTAGACTCGCCCACTTTAAGGTCATTTAAATGGTCATTGGATAAACATATGGATGATAATGGAATAGTTTAGGTTAGATGGGCTTCAGATTGGTTTCACAGGTCGGCGCAACATCGAGGGCCGAAGGGCCTGTACTGGGCTGTAATGTTCTATGTTCTATATCCTATGCTCAATGCACTGACCAATAAAGGCAAGCATAGAAAGCGCCTTCTTCATTATCCTGTCTACCTGGGACTTCACTTCCAACGAACTTATGAACCTTCACTCCAAGATCTCTTTGTTTAGTAACACTCGCCAGGACCTTAACCACTCCAGAATATCCTACAACCGCTCTGAGACATCCAGGAGTCCTAGCACCAGGGAGGCAACACACCATCCTGGACTCTTGTTTGTGGCCACAGAAACGCCTATCTATTCCCTTTACGATTTAATCCTCTCATTACACCCCATCTTCTCATATTCAGGAATGAGCCATCAACTAAACTCAGCCTGGAAATCAGAGGGAAATGCTTCCAATAAACACACTCAATATCCAACACACAGCTCCAGTCAAACAGTTCAGCACAAAGCACCAAGTAAACAGCTCTCTCAGCTGGATCTTCTCACACAGCATAAGGGACATTTCCACCCCTGACTGCCCACAGGATAGTCAGACTGCCTGTAGATTGGTGTGGATATTATGGGATACAATTTGTATAAAAGCTGCTCCTTCACTCACCATCTCCTCACTTGGTTTTCAGTCCCTATAGGAAGTGAACCCGCTCTGGAAGAGGAAGAGGAGAGAATGGGCAGAGTGGGTGGGCTCTCTGATTGACGTCTCTCACAGTCAATCCAAATATTTCTGCAGCAACATGAGTTTCCCGAAACTTGGGAAACTGACCGGTGAAATGGAGGTGACTGAGCAGCAGAGCAGGTGGAGATTTAAACTTGTCAATGTCCCATCTGAATAAAACCTCATTTATTGCAGCTGCTGTCTCAGTTTCCCTGGTAAATGTTTGACAGAGATTTCTAGTGTGGGAATAGCATTCGTCATCCTCAGAGGCTTCCGAACTAATAAACAGCAGTGTTATCCATAATTTCCCTGTTAGCCATGTTCAGGTTACCTTTCCCATTATATTTTTGTGCTAGACACGATGAACAATTATTGCAGTTCTTTCAGGTGCAGTTTAAATGTTTGCCACTCCTGTCCACAGTCATCCTTTCAAGTACCGCCCCTTTGAGTTCAGAAAAATTTTGGGGGATCTCTTTGAAACCCATAAAACTCTAACAGGACTAGAATGCAGAAATGCAGCAAGGATGATCCGGACGACCGGGAAGCCCAGAACCAGGAGTCACAATTTAAGGACACGGGTAGGCCAGTTAGGATTGGGATGAGGAGAAATTTCTTCACCCAGAAACTGATGAGCCTGTGGAATTCTCTGCCACAGAAAGCAGTTGAGGCCAAAGCAGTGAATGTTTTCAAGAAGAAGTTGAAATTAGTTCTTGGGGCTAAAACGATTATTGGATATGGGACAAAAGTGAGTTGGATGATCAGGTATTATCACATTGATTGGTGGAGCAAGCTCTCCAGGCCAAATAACTTGTTTTCTATGTAACCGTTTATCATGGCCAGCTCATTCGTGTACATCGCATAGTTTATTTAGATTAAGAACCCTTGTCTTAGAATTAACTGCATCGCTGTCCAACTTAATGATGAATTCTATCACATTATGATCACTGTTCCCCAAGGAATCTCACAGCTTGATTGCTAATTATTCCTTTCTCTTTATATATTTCCCAGTCTAGGATAGCCTGTTTTCTTGTTGGTGCCTCATCATAATGATGCAGAAATCCATCCCATTCCCACTCCAGGAATTGCTACTCTACTGTATTGTTACAAAGTTAATTTTCCCAATCTATGTGCAGGTTAAAGTCACTCTTAATTCCAGTTGTACTTCTATTGCTTGTGTCTCCAATTTCCTGTTTAATGTCTTCTTCAACATTACCACTACAGTTTGGGGGTCTATATATTGCTTTGTGACCCTTTGTGTTTCTAAGCTGTACCCATACAGATTCCACTTCACCAGAGGTAATATCCTTCCACACTACTGTGTTCATGTCCTCTTTAACGAGCAATGCTACCCCACCCCTTTTTCCTTTTTGTCTGGTCAGCCTGAAAACTGAATATCTCTAGGTATTCAGTTCCCATTCATAGTCACACTGCAGCTACATCTCCATTGACCAAACTATATTAGACTGTTTATATTTGTTTGCATGGCTAATTCATCCAGTTTATTGCAAATGGTCAGCTCATTAAGAAGCAAGGCATTAAGGTTTGTCTTTAAAGTTCTTAGTCCCTTTCACATTATTTTGCTTTGAGGCCCTGTTTTATTCATGCTCTTGAACTCTGCCTATCAGACTTCTTATTTCGCATTTGGTCTTTTATTTTTGCCCTTGTTTCCCTCTCTTTTATCTCACTGTTCCCATCTTCTTGCCATTTTAGTTTAAACCCTCCCTAACCACACTAGAAGATACTCCCCAATAAAAACCAAAAGAACTGCGGATGCTGTAAATCAGGAACAAAAACAAAATTTCTGGAAAAGCTCAGCAGATCTGGCAGCATCCGTGAAGAGAAATCAGAGTTAATGTTACTGAGATCCTGAGATCACTACATCTGAGGTCTGCCTTTTAACTTGCATCCTATCTCCCTATATTATGCAGATTAAAGCATAAATGTAGTGCGAGGTACTCAATTCTGTATTTAGTATTCAGTATTTTTTAAAAGTTGTATGAGCTATTATAATTGTTCAATGAGCACCATCAGAAACAAGTTGTGTGGCCATTATCATACTGCTGTTTGTAGGAGTTTGCTGTGTACACATTGTATGCCATGTTTCCTATATTACAACAGTGACCACAATTCAAAAACCTTTGGCTGTACTGCATTTTGGAACATTTGGTTGTCATGAAAGCTCGATGTAAATGCAAGTATTTCTTTATTTTCTAAGAAGTTCTTTATTTTTGAAGAAGTTACAGAGAAAGGGTGAGGGAAAGTCAGGAAATATCTAGATCCCAACACACAGAGAACTCAACAACAGGAAATGGGGGAGAATCCACAGAAACTCTTGTATGAAGGGATGAAAGTCATTATTGTTAAAGAGATGACAAAAGAGATACTGAAGCATATCCTAGACAAACCATCAAAGAATCAAGTCTAGTCTGAGGAAGGTAAGAGAAGTGTTGTACTAACTAAACAATAGCAAAGAGATGAAGGACCATATCAGCCCTAGTGTCACGGAATCATTAGAAGTATACAATACAGAAACAGACCCTTCGGCCCAACTCGTCCGTGCCAACCAGGTTTCCTAAACTGAACTAGTTCTATTTTCCTGAATTCAGCCAGATCTCTCTAAACCGTTCCGATCCACCGACTTGTCCAAATGTCTTTTAAATGTTGTAATTGAACCCACCTCTAACACTTGCTCTGGCAGTTCGTTCCATATATGCACTACCCTCTGTGTGAGAAAATTGACCCTCGGGTCCCTTTTAAATCTTTCACCTCTCACCTTAAACCTATGCCCTCTAGTTTTGGACTCCCCAAGCCTGGGGAAAACACCTTGCATATTCACCTTATCTATGCCCCTTGTGATTTTAGAAACCTCTGTAAGATCACCCCTTAGCTTCCTTTGCTCCATTGAAAATCTTCCCAGCCTAACCAGCCTCTCCTTGTAACTCAAACCTTCCAGTCTCAGTAACATCCTTGGAAATCATTTTTGCACCCTTTCCAGTTTAATAATAACCTTTCTAAAGCACGGTGACCAGAACTGTACACAGTACTCCAAATGTGGCATTACCAATGTCTTGTATCGACATGATGTCCCACCTGTTGTAGTCAATGTTCTGACTGATAAAGGCAAGTGTGCCAAACACCACCTTCGCCACCCTGTCTACCTGTGATGCCACTTTCAAGGATTGCGTACCTGCACCCCGAGGTGTCTCTGCTCGACAACATTCCCCCAGGACCTATCATTAATTGTGCAAGTCCTGCCCTGGTTTGTCTTATCAAAATGCAACACCTTTGAATTAAACTCTATCTGCCATTCCTCGTCCCACTGGCCCAGTTGATGAAAATCCTGTTGGATTCTTAGATAACCTTCATCACTGTCCATTATAGCACCAATATTGGTGTCATTCGCAAACATATTAACCATGTTACTAACTAGCTATATTCTCATACAAATTGTTTGGAAATGATGAATAACAGTGGACCCAGCACTGGCACACCGCTGGCCACAGGCCCCAGTCTAAAAAACAACCATCTGCCACCACTCTCTGTCTCCTGCCATTAAGCCAATTTTGAAAGTTCCTGTCTAATACCATCAAAATTGGCCTTGCCTAATTTAAAATTTTAACTTTGGACCAGATCTATCCTTTTCCATAAATATTTTAAAACTAATAGAATTATGGTCCCTGGACCCAAATGCACACCCACCAACACCTCAGTCTCTTGCTCTGCCTTATTTCCCAACAGGGGGTCAAGTCTTGCCCCTTAACATACTTAACAAATTCCTTCCCATTCAAGCCCTTAACAGTAGGCAGCCCCAGTCTATGTTTGTAAAGTTAAAATCCCCTACTATCACAACTTTATTATTCTAAATCTCCCTACATATTTGCTCCTCAAGGGCTACAGTACAATCCCATCAAAACAATCACCCCCTTCTTATTTCTCAGTTACACCCATGTAGCCTCACTGGACGATCCCTCAGGAATATCCTCTCTAAGTATTGCCATGATGTTTTCCCTAATCATAAATGCCACTGCCCGTCCTGTCTTGCCTCCCCTTTTATCCTTCCTATTGTATCTGTACCCAAGAACATCGAGCTGCCAATCCTGTCCCTCTCTCAAATAACAAAGTGTAGAGCTGAACACAGCAGGCCAAGCAGCATCAGAGGAGCAGGAAGGCTGACGTTTCAGGCCTAGACCATTCTTCAGACCCCTCTCTCAGCCACATTTCCTTAATAGCTTGATATCCCAGTCCCATTTACCCATGTATGTACCTATTCATCTGCCTTACCTCTAAGACCTCTTGCATTCAAATAAATGCAGTTTAATTTATTAGTCTTCCCTTGTATTCTGCCGTGCTGTTGCCCGTCTTGCTCATTTAACTTGCCCTCTTTAACTCCTGTACTCGCCTCAGCCTTCTATTTTGTGTCACTGCTGTTTAGTGTTCCCACCCCTCTGCAGTAAACAAAGTTTATATCCAGTAGTTTTGTCTATGATGTGTACTGCTATTCAGTTTCTACTTCTCTGTAAACAAATTAAACTGCAATATATGTTTCCATCTGAAAAAATGCAATGCCCCCAGTTTATACAAAGGGAATTGATACTTTAAGATAACAAGGTGTAGAGCTGGATGAACACAGTAGGCCAAGCAGCATCAGAAGAACAGGAGAGCTGACGTTTTGGGTCTGGACACACACTTCTTCAGAAAAAAAAATATACCTTAGTTTAGTTTAGTTGCATCTCCAACCCTAAGATATAGTGAGATGTGCAAATGGGTAATTAATTTGTAGTTCAGTTTACTTCTTGGGCTAATTCACTGGAATCCAATACCGTGCAATAGGTTGAGTCTTTTCTACTTTTGTGAACAAGGGGGTTTACTTTATGACCAAAGTGATACCATGTATTTAAATCCTATAGGGAGTGCACTTTTACGCTCAGATTGAGGTAACCAGTGCAGTGCTTGTAATGAACATCAAACAAGATAAAGAGCTCCTCATCACTTGTGACATCCCAGACAACCCATAGCTGAAGCTTGGAGAAGACCTCTTCACTGTCATTGGAACTGATTATGTCATCGGAACTGATTATGTCGTCACGGTCAACTACAATTCAGACAGCAGGGAGTTTGAGCAGCTGAGATCAGTGACTCCCAGTGAGACTGTAAAATGTCTGAATGCCCACTTCAATCGTCGTGATGTTCCTAATATTGTGATCAGTGACAGAGATCTCTATTTATGAGTGAAGAACTCAGATACTTCATGAATGGCTGGGGAATACGACACCAAACATCATCTCCATACAACATGTTTGCAGGCATCCTGAATGTGAAAGTTCATTAATATAAATGCATGTGGTCTATTGTATCTGCTGTTCCCGATGTGGCCTCCTCTACATCGGGGAGACCAAGCGGAGGCTCGGAGACCACTTTGTGGAGCTCCTACACTCGGTTCATGACAAACGACAACACCTCCCAGTCGCAAACCACTTCAACTCCCCCTCCCCCTCCCACTCCCTGGGCGACATGTCCATCACAACAATGTCACCTGGAAATTGGAGGAACAGCACCTCATATTCCGCCTTGGAAGCCTACAACCCAATGGTCTCAATGTGGACTTTACTAGCTTCAAAATCTCCCCGCCCCCAACCTCATCCCGACGAACTGCCCCCCTCTCATCCATGCCTCCTTGACCTGTCCGTCTTCTCTCCCACCTATCCGCCCCTCCCTCCTCACGGACCAATCCACATCCCTACTTCCTACCTACATTCACTTTTACTAGCTTCATCCCCGCCTCCTTGACGTGTTCGTCTTCTTTCCCACTTATCCGCTCCACCTGCTATCACCGCCCCCCCCCCCCCCCTATTTATTTCGGAGCCTCCTTCCCCTCCCCCATTTCTGAAGAAGGGTCCCGACCCAAAATGTCAGCTTTCCTGCTCCTCTGATGCTGCCTGGCCTGCTGTGTTCCTCAGCTCCACACCTTGTTATCTCAGACTCCAGCATCGGCAGTTCTTTCTATCCTTGATATAAATGCAAGGCTTTCTTTCTTAGGGAAACATTATGCTTTGTGTGAACTAGAAACTATAAATCAACCACTGGAGAAAATATCGCAACTTTTGAGACAATCTCTGCTTTCTCATTTTTGGTTTGGAACTGTGAATTGAAGCTAAGAATTGATTTTTGAACAGCAAAGTAAAAGAGAACAACAAAGCCAAATATCTACTGCTGAAAACTGGCCTGGAAAGATAATGCAGTTTAATTACTGCTCTAAGAACACTGCAGATGATTTGGGACCAAGATGTTGCTATCCTCAGGACTGACAGCCGGCTGGATGTTGAATTGGTCCATCAAGGGAGGACCAGTGCAGGCCAACCAACTCTCTCTCTCTCTATGGTTTCGCTGCAGTTGTCAACTTGTTGATTGTTCTGATATGAGAATACCATTTTGTCTGAATAATTCTCGAAGGCTACTTGATCTGTTTGCATGGATGCGTGATTTCAGAATTCAAGCCTGTGAACAACTCCATTCTCTGAGGATTTCTGAAGGCCTAGTACCCATTGTGACGAGGTCATTTTTAAATTATAATTATTTATTTTTCTTTTATTATCCCTTAACTGTGCCTACCTGTTTGCCTGTGAGATTGGGGGTTTGTGTTTAGAGAAGATTGACTGAGATCATAGATATTAAGTAGATTGCCTTGTTGTTTATCCATATTCTGTTAAAGTTACATATTAAAAGTTATTTTTTCCTTCAGTTGTAAATTTCATGTGCAAGTTCTATTATTTACAGAGTCTGATTAGGAACAGTTGAGTAATTTGGAAGGTCCTTGAATATTTTATTTCACTATTTTGCAATAGTGAGGCTAATTTGTTTTGGCTTGCTGTCCCTGTGTTTTCACACAACCCAGAGCAACATTGACCATGGTGACAAATCTGGTAGTTTGGGTGATGATGAAGTGTGATTTATTATTGATTATAAATCTACAGAAAAAATTGAAAGGATAGCAGACAGACGCTATATTGAGCTTATATCAAAATGATTCAAGATCCCTTCCAGAATTTTAAATTAAACTCGGGAGAATGTATGGTGAACATAACATTATTACATCATGTCCATCTACGAGGAGGAAACCCACACAGATTCAGGGAGAATGTGCAAACTCCACATAGACAGTCACCCGAGGGTGGAATCAAATGCAGGTCCCTGGCACTGTGAGGCAGCAGTGCTAACTACTGAGCCACCATGCCACCTCAACAAGTGCTTTGGTTTCCTTCCACAGTCCAAAGATGTGCAGGTTAGGTGGATTGCCAATGTTAAATTGCCCACAGAGTCCAGGGATGTGCAGGATAGGTGGGTTAGCCATTTTCTTTTCTTTATTCATTCATGGGATGAGGGCATCACTGGCTAGGCCAGTATTTATTGCCCATCCCTAATTGCCCAGAGTAAGCCACATTGCAGTGGGTCTCAACTTACATGTAGACTAGACCAGGCAAGGATGGCAGTTTCCTTCTCTAAAGGACATCAGTGAACTAGATGGGTTTTTCTGACAATCAGTAATGGATTCATGGGCATCATTAATTCCAGATATTTATTGAATTCAAATTCCACCATCTGCAGGATTCGAACCAGGTCCCCAGAACATTACGTGCGTCTCTGGATCTTTGGGGTGGCACGGTGGCCCAGTGGTTAGCACTGCTGCCTCACAGCACCAGGGACCCGGGATCGATTCCACCCTCGGACTGTCTGTGTGCAGTTTGCACATTCTCCCCGTGTCTATGTGGGTTTCCTCCGGTTGCTCCGGTTTCCTCCCACTGTCCAAAGATGTGCAGGGTAGGTGGATTAACCATGCTAAATTGCCCATAGTGCCCTTGGATGTTTAGGTTAGGCGGGTTAGAGATGGGAAAATGCAGGGGTAGCAGAATAGTTCCGGGTGGGACGCACTTCAGAGGGACGGTGTGGACTTGTTGGGCTGAATGGCCTGTTTCCACACTGTAGGGATTCTGTTCTATGAAACAGTCCCCGTATTGCCTCCCCATATGGAATGCGGGGTTATGGGGACAGGGTAGGGGTGGGGGTGGTTAACTTTAGGATATCGATGGAGACTTGGTGGGCCGAATGGCCTGTCCCCACACTGTGGGGATTCTATGATTCTAGGAGATTCCAGAACAAGGGGTAGAACATTAAAATTAGAGCAAGGCAGTTCAGAGACGATGTCAGCAAACGCTTCTTCACAAAAGGGAGACTGGAAATCTAGAACTCTCTCCCATCAAAGATCTGTTGTGGCTGAGGGTCAATGAAACCATCGAACTTGAGATGAATTGGAGTATTGTTCACACTGATGACAGATGGACAAGAACTTGGCAAGAACTTCCTGAATGGGTCTTCTGATGTTCTATGAGGTCCAACAACTGTGAGAAACCTATATTGCTGAACCCAAATTGACAGGTTTTCTCCTGTATGAGTATGTTGAGAGTCCAAGAGAAAGCCTTGTCACAAACATTGTAACTGAAAAGCACTTTGTGCATATCCTGTGTGTCCTAGGAGGGTTGAAGATGTTATAAAAGTTTTGTCGCAAACCTTGCACTTGATGGGTTACTGTCCTGTGTGGATTCTCCAATGGTGCAGGAGATTAGATGACTTTGAGAATGATTTGTCACACACCTCGCATGTGAATGGCTTCTCTCCTGTGTGAATGCGTTGGTGGAGGCAGAGGGTCGATGACTGTGAGAATGATTTGCCACACACATTGCACCTATATGGCTTCTCCCCCGTGTGAATGCGTTGGTGTACACGGAGGTTTGATGACTCTGAGAATGATTTGTCACACAGCTCACATATGAACGGTTTCTCCCCTGTGTGAATGCGGTGGTGTGCAAGGAGGAGCGACGATGTTGAGAATGATTTGTCACACATCTCGCACTTGAATGGCTTTTCCCCTGTGTGGATGTGTTGGTGTACTCGGAGGTTTGATGATGTCAAGAATAATTTATCACACACCTCGCACTTGAATGGTTTCTTCCCTGTGTGCAGCCTCTGGTGGACCAGGAGGTTCGATGACCTTGAGAAAGTTCTGTCACACACCTCACACCTGAATGGCTTCTCCCCAGTGTGAACGCGTTGGTGGACACGGAGCTGCGATAATGTCAAGAACAATTTGTCACACAGTTCACATGCAAATGGTTTCTCACCTGTATGAATGCGTTGATGTCTGCGCAGCGTTGATGAGTCTGAGAATGATTTGTCACACACCTCGCATGCAAATGGTTTCTCTCCTGTGTGAATGCGTTGGTGTACACGTAGGTTTGATAAGATCGAGAATGATTTATCACACACTTTGCATGTGAATGGTTTCTGCCCTGTGTGAATTCTCTGGTGCCTCAGCAGTTGGGAAGAAGAGGTGAAAGCCTTCTCACAAACCTCACACCTGAAGGGTTTCTCCCCTGTGTGAATCATTTGGTGTGCCAGGAGCCTTGTAGAAGTCACAAAAGATTTATCGCAAACCGCACACTTGAATGGTTTCTCTTCCATGGAATTTTCTTTAACAGTGGTTCTATAAATGCAATTTGCTTGTCATGAGATCTTACAGGCCTGTGGAGCTCTCCTCACAGAAGAACAGTCTCTTGCCTGTAGGAATGAGTCAGTGGCTCATGAGGGTCAATGGATGATTGAAGCTGTCACCGCACCTGGAGCCACTCACACTTCTTCACAGCCTCACCCTGACCGATCACCCACAGTTGAACCTTCAGAAAGGTTGGTTCTGATGGAAGGCTCCACACCACTGACCAGTTTCAGATCTGATGATGTATCAAAGCTCCCCTGACCTGACTGATTTCCAAATGATGGTTTCACTGCCCAACTTCTCTGTGTTGAGCAATGCTGTGAAGGGACTGGATATCTTCCCACCGTTGTGCAGTTGTTCTTTGGGTGATGGTCAGGTCCTATCTGAGGTGTCTATTCTCTCTGTATTATCTGGTGTTGTACATTGCGATCCTTCTGTAAAACAGGAAAAGGAAACATAATTTCTTCCAGTTTTCTGTCCTCCTTTGCTGAAGGGGCCTATTCCTCAGCCAGTGACAGTCTTCTATTTCATTTTGGTCTATGGTAGTGTTTATGCTTCACACAAGCCTCCTTTCAGCCCTCTTCATCTCACCCTATCATTGGATCCTTCTGATCCTTTCCCCCTACTGTACTTATCTGCTTTTCCCTTAAAGGCATCTCCACTCTTCACCTCCATCAATTCAGATTGTAAAGGTGAATTTAATCAACTTTGGAATTTTTTGAATACATTCAGAACAAAAACATGAGAACTTTCAGCTTATCCTAAAAACCAAATACTGTCCTTCAGGAAAGGAAACCTGCTACAACTGCCTGGTCTGTTCTACACGTGACTCCAGTCCCACCCAACTTGGTTGACTCAATTCTGTTTGAAGTGGTCAAAGAAACAATATTAAACAATCACTACAAAGTCCAATAATAAAAGCAAAATCAGAGAGATCTGGCCAATCATGACATCGTGTCAGAATAAGATGCAGGTCGATCTCAACCCAGTGAAATCTGTAAAGTCTCTCCTTCCAAGGTGTACGGACAAGTCCCAAATGGAGGAGAGCTGCCATTGATTGATCAAGTAGTAGTGATACCCACAGAATCATGTCAATCCGGAAACATCCAGACTCCTCCATCACCATCCCTGGGAATGTCCTATCCCACTGGCAGGTGGGGTAGTCCTCAGTATTGACTCTGTGGATTATCAGGGCATCAAGCCAAACATATTCAAGGAAAACTACCACACCCCTACCAACTGGTGTATTTTGGCAGGACGAAGCATATTATCTGAATGGTGAGAGATTGCAGAGCTCTAAGATACAGAAGGTCTAGGTGTCCTCATGCATGAAATGCATGGTGAGTTATTAGGAAAGCTACTAAAATGTTTCCATCATGATGGGAATTGAATGCAATGAGGTTATGCTTCAGTTATACAATGGTAAGATCACATCTTGTGTACTCTGTACAGAATTGATCACATTCTTTAAGGAAGGATGTAAATGCGTTGGAAACAGTTCAGACTGAGTTTGCCAGTCTAATACTTGGAATGGACAGATTTTCTTAAGAGAAAAGGTTGGACAAGATAGGCTTGTAACTTCTAGAGTTTAGAAGAAGTGGTGATTTGATTGGCGCATACCTCATTCTGATGACTCTTGACAGGGTGGATGTGAAGAGGATCTAAAACTGGAAGACACTGTTTGAAAACATGTGAGAGATATATCTTCATCACAAAGAGTCATGTGTCTTTGGAAATCTCTTCTGGAAAAGGTGATGAAAGTCCTTGAATATTTTAAAGGCAGAGGAGATAGCTTCTTGAAAGCAAGGTTATCTGGTATAGGTGCGCATGCAGAATACACAAAACAGCCATGATCTTATTGGAAAGCAATGGCAGGATCAGACAGAGTCAACATGGATTTACTGAAGGGAAATCGTGCTTGACAAATCAACTGGAATTCTCCGAAGAGTGACTCATAAAGTTGATGAAAGGAGCAAGTGGATGTGATTTATTTGGACTTTCAGAAGGTTTTCGACAAAGTTCCATGTAAGACATTAGCGTATAAAATTATACCACATAGGATTGGGGATAATGTATTGAAATGGCTAGAAAACTGGTTCGCTGACAAGAAACAAAGAGGAGGAGTAAGCAAGTGCAGGCAGTGATTAGTGTGCTACTGCAAGGATCAGAGCTAGGACCCCACCTAATCACTATAAATATTAATGATTTGGATGAGGGAACTAAATGTAATATCTCCAAATTTGCATACGACACAAAGATGGGTCGGAGCATGAAGTGTGAGCAAGATGCCGAGAAACTTCAGTGTGATTTGGACAAGTTGAGTGAGTAGGCAAATGCATGGCAGATGAAGTATAATGTGGATAAATGTGAAGTCAAACACATTGGTAGTGAAAACTGGAAAGCAGATTATTACCTGAATTCTCAGATTGGGAGGGGGAGGTGCAATGAGATCTGGGTGTCCTTGACAACAAGGTGCAGGGCTGGATGAACACAGCAGGCCAAGCAGCATCATAGGAGCAGAGAGGCTGACGTTTCGGGCCTAGGCCCTTCATCAGAAAAGGTGGGGGGGGAAGGGGGTTTTGAAATAAATAGGGAGAGAGTGGGAGGCGGATAGTGGGTGTCCTTGTACACAATTTGAGGAAAGGTAAGCAATGAAAGTTTTGCAAGCAATCAAAAAGTAATCAAATGGTATGCTGGCCTTCATAGCAAGAGGATTCAAATAAAGGGATGTCTGAATGCAATTGTACAGGACTGTGGGAAGACCTCACCTGGAGTAAAGTGTGCAATTTGGTTTTTCCATTTTGATCTCCTTATCTGAGGCAGAATGTTCTTTCTGTGGAGGGAGTGCAGCAAACATTTACCAGGATGATTCCTGGGATGGCAGGACTGGCTTATTAGCAGAGGTTGAATAGGTTAGGATTACATTTGTTGGAATTCAGAAGAATGAAAGGGAATCTAAAAGAAATGTATAAAATTCTAATAGGACTATACAGGGTAGATGTAGAAAAGATGTTCCCCCAATGACTGGAGGAGTCCAGAACCAGGGGTCCAAATTTAAGGATATAGGGTAGGCCGTTCAGGACTGAGATGAAGTGCAACCTATTCATTCAAATGATGAGCCTGTGGAACTAGTGGTCCCAGAAAGGAGCTGAGGCCAAAACAATATATTATTTTCAAAGAAGTTGGATATCGCAGTTGGAGCTGAACGGAACATAGTACATGGGGATAAGTAGGAAGAGGCTATTGAATTGGATTGTCATCTAAGATCATAATGAATAGTATAACAGGATGAAAGAGCTGAGTGACCCACTCTTGCTCCTATTTCTGATGCTTCTATCAATGCTGGAGCAGGTTCTAGAGGTTACTGGGCCAACTCCTACTCCTAATTAATAAGTTGAGGTTTACTTCACAATGATAGTCATCACCAGTGATGTATCCTGAGGACGTCTGGATGGTGTGTTGCCTCCCTGGTGCCACAGTCAAGGATGTCACAGAGAGACAGCAGAATATTCTGAAAGAGCAAGTGACCTGCAGAAGGTCGTCGTGCACATTGGTACCAATGACACAGGGAGGGAAAGGGATCAAGCTCTGCAGAGAGAATACAGAAAACTAGGCAGGAGGCTAAAACATAGGTCCTCAAGAGTAGTAATATTTAGACTGCTAGAAGTGCCACATCCAAGTGAGAGTAGAATAGGAGGATACAGCAGATGGATACGCGGCTGAGGAGCTGGTGCAGGGGGCAAGGATTCACATTTTGGACCATTGAGATTTCTTCAGGGGTAGAGATTACCTGTCTTAGAGGGATGGGATCCATCTGAATTAGAAGGGAACCAATATGCTTGCAGGGAAATATGCTCGTACTACTCAGGATACTTTAAACTAGTAAGGAAGTGGGTAGGAGGAACCAAAGCAATAGTGAGAAAAGGCTGAGGCTGGTACAGTAGATAAGGGGAGCAAGTCTAACAGTCAAGTCAGACAAGAGCTTGACAGAGAATAAGGTAAGACTGAGAAATTAACTGTATTTACTTCAATGCAAGAGGTCTGGCAGGTAAGGTAGATGAACATGGCTGGGAACATGGAATCTCATAGCTATTACAGAAATGTGCCTCAGGAATGGACAGGACTTAATGTTCCAGGATATAAATGCGATAGGAAGGATAGAAAGAGAGGTTAGAGAGGAGTGGGTGTGGTATCTTTGGTTAGGGAGAACATTATGATTGTATTTAGAGAGGATATTCCTGGGAGATCGTCCAGTGAAGTTATATGAGTGGGACTTAAAAATATGAAAGGCATCATCTTGTTGAGATTGTATTATAGACCCCAAATAGTCAGTGGGAAATTGAGAAATATGTAAGAAGATCTCAGATATCTGTAAGAAAAATAGGGTTGTAACTATAGGGGATTTTAACTTTCCAAACCATAGACTGGGACTGTTGGATGGGGAAGAATTTGTTAAATGTGTACAAAAAAACTCTCTGGTTCAATTTGTGGATGTACCTACGAGAGAAGGAGCAACATTTGACCTTCTGTTGGGAAATAAGGCAGGGCAAGAGACTGAGGTGTCGGTGAGGGAGCACTTTGGGGCAAGTGATCATAATTCTATTAGTTTTGAAATAGTTATGGAAAAGGATAGAGGTGACCAAAAACTTAAAATTCTAAAATTGGAGTGAGGCCAATTTTGACAGTGTTAGACGGGAGCTTTCAAAAATTGATTGGGAAAGGCTATTCACAGGTCAAGGGATGGTGGGGAATTGGGAGTACTTTAAGAATAAAATAATGAGAGTTCAGAAATAGTATGTTCCTGTTAGTGTGAAAGGCAAGACTGGTAGGTGTAGGGAATGCTGGATGACTAGGGAAATTGAGGCTTTGGTCAAGAAAAAGGAGGCATACATCATATGTAGATAGCTGACATCAAGTGAATCCCTAGAAGAGTATAAGGGGTGTGGGGGGGGCATTCATATGAAGAAAATCAGAGGGCAAAAAGAGAACATGAGATAGCTTTGGCAAATGGAGTTAAGGAGAATCCAGTGAAAGTCTATAAATACTTTAAGGGCAAAAGAGTAACTAGGGAGAGAAAAATGTCCTTTAAAAATGAATGTGGCCGTCTATGTGTGGAACCTCACGAGATGGGTGAGATACTAAATAAATCAGTATTTACTGCGGAGAAGCACATGGAAGCTCGGGAATTTGGGGAAATAAATAGTGATGTCTTGAAAAGAGTTCATATTACAGAACAGGAGATGCTAGAGGTCTTAAAATGTCTAAAGGTGGATAAATCCCCAGGACTTGATCAGGTATTTCCCAGAACTTTGTGGGAAGCTATGCGAAGAGATTACTGGGATATTTGTAGCATCAATAGCCATGGGTGCCGTAAGACTAAAGGTTGGCTAATGAGCTGCTATTATTTAAGAAAGTCTATAAGGAAAAGCCAGGGAACTATCGACCAGTGAGCCTTACTTCAGTGGTGGCTAAGTTTTTGGAGGGAATTATGAGGGACAGAATTTACATGCATTTGGAAAGAGAAAGACTGATTTAGGGATGGTCTGTATGGCTTTGTGTGTGGGAATTTGTGTCTCACTAACTTGATTGAGTGTTTTGAAGAGGTGACAAAGAGGATTGATGAAGGCAGAGTGGCAGACATTATCTATATTGACTTCAGCAAAGTTTCGACAAGGTTCCACACAGTAGACTGATTAATCAGGTTAGATCACATGGGATCCAGGGGGAGCTAACCAATTGATTACAAAATTAGCTTGAAGATAAGAGACAGAGAGTGGTGGACGGTTGTTTTTCAGACTGGAAGCCTGTGTGTCACAAGGATCAGTGCTGGGTTCATTGCTTTTCGTCGTTCATATAAATGATTTGAATATGAATATAGGAGGTATGGTTCGTAAGGTTGCAGATGACATCAAAGTTGGTGGTGTAGGGGACAGTGAAGAAGATTATCACAGAGTACAATAGGACCTTGATCGGATGCGCCATTGAGCCGAAGAGTGGCAGATAGCGTTTAATTTATATAAATGTGAGATGTCACATTTTGGTAAGGCAAACCAGAGCAGGACTTATACAATTGATTGTAAGGCCCTGGAGAGTGTTACCAAACAAAGATACCAAGGCGAGCAGGTACATAGTTACTTGTAAGTGGAGTCACAGGTAGACAGGGTGGTGAAAAAGATGTGTGGCAAACCTGCCCTCATTGGTCAGAGCATTGAGTATAGGAGTTGGGATGTCATGGTGCAGCTGTACAGGACATTGGTGAAGCCACTTTGGAACACTGCATACAATTCTGGTCGCCCTTCTATAGGAAGGATGTTGTTAAACTTGAGAGGATTCAGAAAAGATTTACAAGGATGTTGCTGAGACTGCAGGATTTAAGTTATAGGGAGACGCTGAATAGGATGGATCATCAGAGACTGAGGGCTGACCTTATAGAGGTTTATAAAATCATGAGGGGCACGGATAAGGTGAATAGTTAAGGTCTTTTTCCTAGGTTTTAGGAGTCCAAAACTAGAGGAGAAAGGTTTAAGGTGAGAGGGGAAAGCTTTAAAAAGGACATGAGGGATAACTTTTTCATGCAGAGGGTAGTGCATGTATGGAACAAGCTGCCAGAGGAAGTGGTGGAGGCTGGTACAATCACAACACTTAAAAGGCATCTGGATGGGTACATGAATAGGAAGGGTTTTGAGGGGTAAGGGCCAAATACTGGCAAATGGGACTAAATTAATTTAGGATACTTGGTCGGCATGGATAAGTTGGATGGAAGGGTCTTTTTCCCTGCTGTGATGACTCTGTGACAGATCACAAAACTGTGGTGCAGAGTGATCAGCCACAATAACCACAGAGTCATAGAGTAATACAACATGGAAATAGACCCCTTAGTCCAACCAGTCAACACCAACCAAGTTCCTAAACTAAACTAGTCTGACCTTTGTACACTTGACTCATATTCCTTCAAACTTCTTTCATTCATGAAATTATCCAAATGTTTTTAAACATTGTAACTCTACCTGCATCCACCACTTTCTCTGAACAGTTCATTTCACGTACAAATCATTCTCTGTGTAAAAAAGTTGTAACTCATCGTTTTTACCTCTTTATCCTGTCACCTTAAAAAAATGCCCCCTAGTTTTTAACTCCCCCACTCCTAGGGAAAAGACCCTTGTATTCACCTGATCTATGCCCCTCATGATTCTATAAACCTCCAATAAGGTCACCTCTCATTTTCCTATGCCCCAACTTTTCCAGCATATTTTTATATCTCAAACCTTCCATTCCCAGCAACATCCTGATAAATCTTTTCTAACTGTCTACAGTTTAATATTCTTCCTATAACAGAGCAAACAGAACCGCATGCAGTACTCTAGAAGAAGCCTCACAAACACCCTGTGCAACCTCAACATGACCCAACTCCTATACTCAAAGGTCTGCGCAATGAAGAAAGGACTTGCATGTGATCCCCCCGCCGAGACAGGGGAAAGCAGGCTGGCATTCGCTGTGGAACAGTCTCAAACTAAGGAGTCACCCCCTTCAGCAAAGGAGGAGTGAGAAATTCACGTTTCCTTTTCCTGTTTTACAGAAGGATTGCATTGTACTACAGCAGAAAAGACAGGGAGGACATACACTGCAAATAGATCTTGACCATCACCCAAGAAACAACTGACAACTGTGGGAAGATATCCAGTCTTTTCACAGCATTGCTGTGCAGAAGTTTGAGCAGTGAAACCATTATCTGGAAATTGGTCAGACCAGGGGAGCTTAGACGTGTCACCAAATTGTAACTGGTCATTCGTGCAGAGTCTTCCAGCAGAACCAGCCTTTCTGAAGGTTTGACTGTGTGTGACCAGTCGGGGGGAGGCTGGAAAGAACAGTGAGTGGATAGTAACCAGCTGCCAACACATACACACACACAACTTAACACTAGGAAATCAGCAAGAATGCTCAGACGTTCTGCACCTCCCAGATAATTGCACCACACCTTCTCATAGTCAGGAATGAGCCATCAACAAAACTCAGCCTGGAAATCAGAAGGGAAATATTTCCAATAAACACACTCAATATCCAACACACAGCTCCAGTCAAACAGTTCAGCACAAAGCACTGAGTAAACAGCTCTCTCAACTGGATCTTCTCACACAACATAAGGGACATTTCCACCCATGATTGCCCACAAAATAATCAGGCTGCCTGAAGATTGGTGTGGATATTATGGGATCCAATTTTCATAAAAGCTGCACCTTCACTCACCATCTCCTCACTTGGTTTTCAGTCCCTATAGGAAGTGAACCAGCTCTGGAAGAGGAAGAGGAGAGAATGGGCAGAGTGGGTGGGCTCTCTGATTGACATCTCTCACAGACAATCTGAATAAATGTGGGAATAACATTCTTTATCCTGAAGGCTTTCAAATTTCACACATTCATTGACACTCAAGCAACACCAACACATTCACACTGGGGAGAAACTGTTAAAATGTGAGGTTTGTGCTCAACTGACTTTCACATATGTAAACATACTGACACCAGAGAGAAATTGTTCAGAAATTGGGTGCAACCTGATTCTGGCAGTCCTCCAATCTCCGTGAACACTTTCACCTTAAACAGGAGAGAAAGCGATCAGATCTGAGATGAGTAATAAGGGCTTTGCATATTTATCAGGCCTGTTAAACACTGGCTCGTTCACACAGGGAAAAGCCTTTCAAATGTGAGGTGTGTGACTGAGCCTTCACACAGTCATCAGTATTCATGGAAACTACACACTTCTGTCTGAGAATGCTTTTACTAACTTGCCAAAGCCCCTCGTCCATCAGAGAAAACTAATCAAGTGTGACCTTAATGATGATGTTTTCCTAAAATCTCAGCAACTTCTATAACATTAACAGATTCACAGAGTAAAGAATCTTTCAGATGTGAGGAATATGACAAGGCTTTCACAGAGTTCAAATGTATGTCTTCATCCAATGTGTCCTCATCTATCTAATGCACTCACATAGGGAAGCAACCCTGTATGAGTTCTGTAATAAAGCCTTCACAGATTACGTCTTGTGTCTTAACTAATGGAACATCAGTAAACAAACATGGAAGATAAACCTTTCTAGTGAGGTGTCTCAGGATTATTTCACCTCCTCTTAACATGCACCGATGTCTCCACATGGATTTGGAGCTGGGTGACCTGCTTCTTTTGCACTCAGAGTTGTCTATGTTATCTAGCCTCCAGTGCTCACACAGGTGAGCTGTCTTTCCAAAGTACTGCCTTTTTTTATTTAAAAATATACTCCATTCATAAAAAAAATTTAGACACATAGTTACTAGAGCAGTTCGATTCTGTACAGTTTTCATATATGGAGAACAAACAAGCACTGTCTTTTTATTTCAAAAGTATAATTTATTCATAAAAGTCTTATATATATTGTCAAAAGTGCAGTGTGATTTTGTACACAGTCTTTACATATGTAGAACAAACAAACCCAAGGTATTTCTTACTAAGATATAGTAGGAACTGCAGATGCTGGAGA